GATGGGAGGCCCCCAGAGAGCGCGGTGCCCCCCTTCTCCACGCCCCCCTCCCCCATGCGAGGGCACAGGGAGACGCCCCCGGCTGTGGGCCAGGAAGCGCCGTCCACTCCATCTGCCTGCACTTTCATCTTGGGATCCGACCTCCAGAACCTAATAAAATCCCACGGTTTACAAACCACAGTCCGCAGGATCCTGTTGCAGCATGCAAAAGACACCAGGGAAGCTTTTAAAAATACCTCGCCTGGGTCTTATCCGGGAAATTCTGATTTTGTTGGTCTTGGGGGGGCCCTGGGGATTCGCATTCTTTTCTTAAATTTAAACTGATTCCACCGTGTGGCGAGGCATAGATGTTTCTCCTCTGTGCTCGTAAGTCAGGGACACGGAGAAGAGTTCTGCGTTGAAATCACCTGGGGAACGTATAGGTTATACAGCTGCAACTTGGGGGGACTAGTAATAAAAATGGGGGCATAGGGAGGGGCTAACGTGCTAGCTCCGTGTGTCCCCCGGCCCTGACACCCGAGGACGGGTGGCTCCTCACAGCTGCAAAGCACCCACTCCCAGGATGAGCGGCCAGGCAAAGGTCTGGGGGGCCGGGTCACACGTGTGGTGATGCAGGGGTCACTGCATGGAGCACTCGTCGGAGGGGTGGAAGGTGACGGACATCGATGGTCACTGCTGTGGCCTGTGCCTGCCTGCACGCAGAAAGGCTGCGTCTGATTCGCACCAGACACCACTCTGCTCCCGAGGTGCGTGCCGAAGGGCTGCGTGTGCCTGAGGGGACACTTGGCACGCAGACCCTGTCTGAGCCCGTGGTGTCCTGTGCTGCCACCGTTCTGGTCACTGGTCCCAACTCGTGGGGAGTTTTTTCCCATGAGCAATTCTCTGACACCGACTGTGTATCCTACAGTTCAGCTCAGTTCTGACACTGCTTATCCCACGGGTCAAAGGCTCAGCCCCGTAAAACTGCCCTCCCGCCCCCGACTTCAGATGCCAAGTCCAAGTCCAAGTCGTCACCTGGGCTTCTGACCAACCAGTTACAGCTGGGAGTTCTAATGACCTTTTCCTTGGGTGTGATGAATTTGCTGAGTGGCTCATAGAACTCAAGCATCTTACTTACTGGATTCGTGGTTTATTATGAAAGGATGTAACTCTGGAACAGAGGGTTGGGAGAGCTGCACAGGGCGAGGCAGGGGCAAAGGGCAGGAAGCTTCCGTGCCTCAGGCCCCGCTCCTGAATCTTCTTGTGTTGAACCCAGCGCTCTGTGCTTTGAGGTTTTTGTGGAGGCTTCCTTAGGCAGGCAGGATTGTTTAAACCTTAGGCCACTGATTCAGCCTCCAGCCACAGCAGGGGCGTGGGACTAAAGGTTCCACAAGGTGGTTCCTCTCAGCAGCCAGCCAGCCCCACCCTTAGGTGCGGTCCCAAGATCACCTCATTAACATGACAAGACCCCTTTGCTGCTCTCTCCTTAGGAAATTCTGGGGGGTAGGAGCTCTGCACTAGAAACGAGACAAAGACCAAAGGTGTCTTAGCATAAGTCAGTTCCACAGCAGTCACACTGTTCCAGCAGTGACTGGACGGCAGCTTTGTCCACTTTCCAGATCTCTCCTCTTTCCCATGCCTACGTAGCAGTAGCAGAAGTTTGGGGGGCAGGGCAGCAGTCCCTTCGAGGCGTCTGGTTTGTAGTTTGTGGTGGGAAGCAGCCATGGAGCGGTGACTTGGTGGTGGTGATGTGTGTGTGCGTGTGTATACACACACATCTCAGGACAGAATTTAATGTACGAGTGTGCAATTATGCTCTGTCACTGGGCGAACACGAAGAATGTCTTTTAAAATGTTCCAGACACTGTCTGATGCCTTCCCATTTGTTTCCAGTTTGACTCTGTGGCTGATATATCTGATGTGTCAAGCAATGTGACCCTGAAAAGTTACACCATGCACTTTGAGGTAGCCCTGTGTGTTGCGCGAACGCATGATCTTTTGGCATGGTGTGTGGACTGCACAGTAGAAAGGCGTATTTCATTGATGGGACTAGCTAGATTTTCTTACAGCGCATGCTCAGTCCTAACCATACAGTGCATTTGTCTTTCTGATGTTAATATCGGACCTTATTTATTTTGGATGCTGGAATCCTATAACAAGGGGAATGACTAGGGATGAGTAAAGAGGGAGGAATCCATTCGCCTACACAAAGTCAGGGATTTTAAAGTGTAGCGGAAGGGAACTGTGTGAGCACACAGCTCACTTTGACTGCCCTGGCAAAGCGGTGTCTTCAGAAGGCTCTGCGGGGCGCTCATGAAGCGGTCACGTCGTTAATGCGCTCTGTAGCACCCTCACCCCGCCGGCCGGCGCTACAGCCAGCCCGTCTGCAGGGAAGGGCCTGAGCCCTGGTCCATGGCCCTCTCCGTGCAAAAAAGTGTCCGGCCACAGTGCTCCAGATCAGCCAAGTTGCGTAGGGGGCTGCGGAGCGGCGTTTCCTTCACTGACAGTGTGTGATGCGATTTTCCATTCTCTTTCACCATTGGTCCCCAGCAGTGCCTTGCTCGGCAGGGCTTAGCCGATGCCAAGCCCCGCCGGGCTGGGGCGCGCCTGAGCATCAGCGGCCGCAGCCTGTCCGCACTTCGCATTCCAAGGCAGAGCCAGACCAGCCAGACCTGCTCCCAAGGCCCCCTCCACCGCAGCGTCAGCCAGCTCATGGACCTTCAGGACAAGAAGGTCCTGATGGACAGCACGTTGTGGGAAACCATCATGGGCCACGACAACGGGTTGGTGAGTCGATTTCTTCACCCAGAGCCTTTGCTAAACATCCCAGGAATGGTGGCCAAGAGAGAGCGTGGTGCTGCGTCCCCCTGACCGTGTACCAAGCACGCTGTAGCCATCTGTACTGTTTTCAGTTTGTCGTCATTGTTTGAGGAGCAGGGAAGACACTTTGTCATTTTTTTTTTTTTTTAGTGCAGAACAAATAAGTAAGTAAAGAGACAAACAGGCTATATACTTCATTAACTTGGGCAGAGGGGACTGGGGACATTGAAACTAAAAGATGGCCTAGACTCCAGCACAAGTACAGGGACATGTTTTATTTAAAAAAAAAAAAAAAAAATCACCTTTTTCCTTCTGGTTTATACTTAGAGAAAAGCGGGGGAAGAGTCAACAGGCTCAATGGTTCCTTTCCAGGAAGCTCAGAAAATCGTGGTAGATGAGTTTGTTGCTGTTCGTGAACTTCATCGTTCATAATTTCACTTCAGTACAAATAATTCTGAGAGTTAACCTCATCATCTATTATTTGCTACGGGCCCCTAGTGGCTGAAATGAGTAAAATCCTAGCGTTTTTACAAAAGCATCAAACGTCTTCATTATGCCGCCTGCCTGATGTGCTGTTCCTTTGGGATAGGGAGATAATAAACGGAGCCAGCTAAAAACTTAGCTCCTCTGCTTATTCCTCAGAGGCAGAATTAGTCACCTCCATTTCTTTCAACCATCTGCCTCTGCGTTTGGACTTCCCTCATCTCTTTCCAAGTTCTCACTGTTCCTTCACTGAAGAAACGATGACTTTCAGGAAGGGAGAGTCTTGAGTTTCCTGGCTCCAGGTTCCAATAAGTAAAAAAATAAAATACAGTCCTTCCAGCTTGTTCAGAATGATGATGCATAATATCCATGTTTAGATCACAGGCCTCCTTGATGTTAATATGATTACCAAATTCCATGATTCTGATTCAAATTTAAAGTTTCCAAATAGCAGAATTATATTTGGTTGAAACAGAAGGAATTGTTAGCTGGTCATAATTGACATGCAAAATGGCAGCTTCATATGGTTCAACCTAACACACTGAAGACTTAAATGCATGTGTGTCCTTCCCCGAGGACACAGTATATTTTTTGGTGGAACTGGGATCTTAAAAACATTGTCTGATTGCGGAAACCCCATTCTCCACTATGCCAATATTGCCACTTTTGTTTGCTTTCGACACTACTAATAGGCAGTGTGCAAATCAATGCAGCGGATGCTTTTGAAGATGCCAAATTACCTGTTCACTACAACATTATAACCAATATTACCAACCCTATTCAATACGTACAAATACAGTAAGAGTGGGTAGCAATTTTGAACTGCATCTTGCATTGTCTTCCCACTTTCTAGATAAGAAAACCGAGGCTTAGAAAGATTAAGAAATAGCACAGTCACACTCAAATGACACATTCTGGGTCAGTCTGTAGTTCCATGGGACATGATCCTTTTGATAAGGTCAGTGGAAGGCAAGGAAGGACAGTCTCGAACCACACCTTAGAGTGCTGAGCGTATCTTAGCCTTTAACAACTCTTACGGAGTAGTTTTTACATTAAACTGATAAACTGTCAGTTGGCCAATACCCTAACCAGTGACGACTGGCTTAATTTTCAGTATGTGGATGAAGAGGACCTGATGAATGCCATCAAGGGTTTCAGCTCTGTGACGAAGGAACACACCACGTTCACCGACACCCACCTGTAACAGATGGAAGCCTGCAAAACGTGAGTAGGCCTGGAAGGGGGCCTGCACACCCCGGTCCCACTGGGTTATTACAGACGCGTCAGAGATGCTAAAGGCTGTTGCTCGTTACAGAGTAACCCTTTAACGAAATGAGGAGTTTGGGAAACTTTTCTTCCTGTTAGAGGTCTTAGAAATGTTATTTTTCTGGTTGTCTGAAATGAAGGTACCGACCTTATGAAAACACTTATTTTGCTGGCTGTTTGGCACTGAGGGGCCTGGCTAAAGGAATAATCAGTGGCAATTTCCAGTTGGCCACAGTTGTTCCTAGTTTAAAAACTAAGTCAGTCTTTGGATAATTGTAATCCTTAGCAATATAGAAATGATGCTTTGTCATCCAGTGTCCCTCACTGACAATGTAAGTTTTCGTACATATTAAAGTTTCCCTCTCCCCTCCCCATTATGGGAAGAAGCAAAGATGAACAAATGTAGATGCATTTTAAACAGCATACCTGTTCCTGAAATAACTGAAAGCACATAGTCTTAATCATTTTTATTTGACTTAATTGATAAATAAATACAACTGTTGTGAAACCACTGACAATATGGTAAACTTCAGAGAATTTATTTAAACTTCAGTCATATTTCTTGGAATGGAAATATACGCATTTTCACCAGCAAATGCTTAATGCTTTCAGTTTACAATTAATTATCATTTCTGCAGAAACTTGAAAATCATTAAAATTAAATGAAAAGTACAAAAAATTTTTATTCTTACAATTTAAAATATATTCAAAATAACCTTTTTACAGCAGCCAAAACCCAAAATTCAGAACTACAATCTCATAAGCTTAACGAAACGGCCACATTCTAATTATACTGATCATTAATACTGGAAAAAAAAATAGTGGCCCGTAAATCAAGGCAGACTAGCAGCTGCTGAAGTTTTTCCTTCTGGACACTCATGGCTTTGTCCTTGTCTAAAAAAAGAATTGCTCCACCTTTAATAGAAGTTTCAATGGACTTTAGGCATTTAATGTTGGTGACACTTGGTAAGACTTAAGAACGCCAACAATTAAAATTATCCTAAGGGACTTACTACTACACAGGATAATCTGGTATCCTACATTATTAGTGTTTTTGAATTACATATTTTTTCACAAACATAGCACCTCATTAAATATCTGGTAAACACTCTGTAATCACTACAAGGATTGAGAGACTAAGTTCCAAAGAAAATGATGTGATTCACTTAGGATATGCAAGGTGAGTCTCAGGCATCACGGGGCTGAGGACTGCAGTCCGTGGTCCCCACGCTGGGGGACGCGCATCTGGACGGGCACCACCTTAGTACAATGTGGGGCGCCAGGTCCAAAACCCACGGGGCATCTACAAATCGAAATGGACTCCTGCTTTACAAATCACCAGTTAAATGTACGTGTAAAACAAAATCTTTGAAAAGGTCAGAAGAGAGAGTTTATCTCCTGACTCCAGGTCATTCTCTTAAAAAGCTACTACTAGAAAAGTCCAATTTTAATTTGTGAAGTTTTGGTGTAAAAGCTAAATACACTGAAATCCAAGTTCAGCAAAGAACTTTCCTTTTGGTGAGTTTTCACAAGCTGTACTCTTGGCCTGAAGAATCACTCTTTTTATGCCGAGGGGACGGGGTGGTCTTCGTAGGGGAAGGGGACGCAGTACCGGGTGAGTCGGTCCCTCCGTCAGAGGTGCTCGGTGACGATGCCAGGTAGGGAACTTTCTTTCTTCCAAGGAATCCTCCTCCTTCGAATCCTTTCTTCTTTAACTCCACCTTATTTTCATTTTCATCTTCTGAAGACCTCTTCTTGGATTCTAGAAAAGCTTCAGCTATTTTATGTGCTTCCAGGCCACCCTCGGTCTCTCTCGCACCTTTCCCTTCCGCTCCAGGGGACTTTCTCTCAGACACGTCACGCCCCCCAGATGCCCAGGTCACTTCAGCGTGCATCGGACCCAAGTCTCCATTCTCAGGCACAGCTCTTTCTACGTTTCTGTTCAAACCGACCGTCTGGAAGTCCCTGTAACCGTGGAAACTCTCGGTCCTCCTCGCCCGTGCTAACAGAGGACTTTCTCTGTAAGGCCGCAGGGAGCCGTAAGTGGCTGCTTCATGGATGGTTTCATGGTGCTGGAGCTGAAGGCTGAAATAGTTTTTCAAAATTTTTCAGGGGAACATGTCATTAATTAAACTACTCATAAATATATAAAGAATACTATATCCTTATTTCTATGTATATACTTAAGTATTTATGATGTGTACATGTGTATAAAATTACCAATGCAAATAACAGTCACAATCAAACTGGGTTTTTAATTAGTTGACATACAATATGTTAGTTTCAGTTGTATAACAGTGATTAGCATTTTATATAACTTATAAAGTGATCGCCCCATCTATCTGCCACCATACATAGTATTTTATATCGCTGTGAACATTTTTATAACTCGGGGGTATGGTGGTTAAAACTGACATGAAACCAATATTCAGTACTTGCCTCTAAGTTCAGATTTTAGATTTTTAACAAATATGTTAACTAAAAAGAAATACTGTGGCATTGTATTAAAAGTGCATATATACAAATACTGAATCGTTACGTTATACATCAAAAACTAACATTGTATGTCAATTATAATACACCTTAATAAAATAATAGAATCCCTTCGATTATGCCCGAGGCAAGGAGAACAAAAGTGCCATATGCGATTCAAGGTGACACATGATTTTTCTAATTTCCTTTGAATTCCTGAACATAAAATAGGCATCCAAATTAGCAGGAATTCACAAAATTACCTAAAGAGTAAAAATTTTTTTCTATGAAAAAAATATGATGCATGTACAGGGGAAATTCAGTAAAATTTTCTAAACAATTATGTAGCTACGCAGTCTGAATTTAAAACGAATTTTGAAAAACAGAACTATGTGTTTTGGGGAAAACTGGTGGAGACACTGTAATCAATTCGACTCCTATGACTTCAGCTCCGCAGCCTACCTGGAGTTGGACTCGCGCAGCCGGCTGTGCTGGACCACGGACGTGGCCGGGCTGATGTTGGGGGTTGCGCAGCGGGACGTGCTCAGGTCACACTGGTCCAGGAGTTTCAGCAGCTCCTCTTCAGTCGGGCCACCTCCATCTTGGGGAACACACACTCGTATTAACGACTCGGCCATCGGCCGACCCCGCGACAGACGCCTGCCCACGCGAACCTACCCGCGCCTTCGCTTTTGCTGACCACGTCCATGGCGGTGGTCAGGTCCCACATCTGGATGCTGCCGTTGGTGTGGCCCGTGAACAAGTAGCGCCTCGGCCGCGAGCCCATCCTGCTGGAGCCCTCGCACTCTCGCACCGTGAACGAGGATATGGTGGCGCAGTCAACGGCCTGGATCTCGCAGATTCTGTCAGAGACGGCGTACAGTGTGAACCACAGGGACGAATGCCGTTTTTTATAATTCATATATCTGCAAAGTTATACTTGCATATTCCACACATGTAAAAGATCGAAAGAGGTCAAGCAAGGCAAACTGAAGCTTTGTTTCTTGGAGTCTAGAGCAAAAGCTCTTATAAAACAATGTCTTTAACTGAAATCAGGCAAATAATCTGTCAATCCTGAAAGAGCAATTCTTTCAAAGGAAATTATAAAAACAAAAGAAACAAAGCAAGTAGACATCACGCTAGAAAAGATCTTGAGAAATCATTTAAATGTAAATTTAAAAAATCTAAAACCAGAAAACGTGTAGCTCTATAGAGATACCCAAATAGTATCCTCCATTAGGATAATATTCAACTGTTTCAGAATCTGAGCTGTCTATAAACAAAAAGCTTCAAATAAGCTTCATAAGCTGATTTTCTGCAGAGTAGTTTCTGTTTATTTATAAACATAGCTTTTCCTCTGGAATCACTTAAAAATTATAAAATGTGTTTTTTCATGCAGAAATTATAGTTGATTACAACACAATGTTAACCATCTGAGCTAAGGGAAGAGGCAAGAGTTTGGAACTGAACAAGGCTGTGAACACGGCACTGTCAGGATGTCATGTTACGACAGCAGTTTTAATACATGTTTGGCAGCTCCTTCAGCAAGCATGTACAGAACACTAAGTCACAGTGCTTTATAACATTTCTCAAGACAATAATTTGGTCTCTAAGTGCATCACAGGCACCTAATACATTTTCTTTAAAAAAAAAAATGACACGAAGAGTTTAGTACATAAAATTTTCTGGAATCAATTCATTTAATAATTGCTAATGACTGTAAGCAATGAACTTTGATGAAAAAATTTATCAAATTAAAATGTCAATTAGAGACCACATGCTAAAGGGTAACTGAGAAATTACTAAAAATATCAGTAGCGTCAGTAACCGTAATATGAATGTCCATAACCTTAATAACTATGAATAGGCATTTTACTTTTTCCACTTCTTTGACATGCAAAAAATTGTGTTTTAAAAGAAGAGAAATGTTACAACTCCATGTGTTTGAGGCTACAAATAATTTTTTTAAAAGTAAAAACTCAGTCATCAAGTGGAAAAGGAAACGAACTTCTACTGAGCACCTATTGCAGTTGGGGACTATATCTCGGATATACGTCAAATGTTTTTAGCTCATTTTATCCTATGACATCCTACCCAGGTAGCTGAACCTCATTTTATAAAGCGACTGGGGCTCAGAGCAACAAAGTAACTTGAGTGGCATTTACATGGTAAGAGGAAGTGCCAGAATTAGAACCCAGTCCAGCTGCCTGCTGTCACGTTCACCGTGTTCTCGTTCTATCACTTCCTGTCTATGCATCACTGAGAATCTTAAATATATCTTGGAGAATAAGCACTAAGTATATTGTCTTAATTTTAAGTTATAACAATCACGTGGTAATGAATAGCCTTGTCTCTTATTGTTTCTGGTAGCACTTTTATCAGTAAGTTAAATTATTCAATACTGTATGTTTTGTAAGGAAAGAGCAACTTCTGAACATAAACGTTTACGGAGAAGTATTACCTTTTCCCAGTAGATGAGAGTCTTACAAACAGCTTGTTAGTGATGGGAACGACTTTCTGGATAAACACCTGCTGATCGTCTCGCTCTCCAAAAGGCCCTTGGTCACAAACAGAAAATGTCAAAAATTAAAATTTAAATGGTTTCATTTAACAAGAACAACATTAACACCAAGCCTATCACTATGGCATTATGTTCCAAGTCTAAATCAGACACAAATGCAGCGCCACAAGTACTTCAACTTGTATTAAAAAATTAAATACATACTTCAAAATTGTATTTTATGCACTAATGCTGTAAAACTTGATGGCAATAATTTGCTTAGAAAAAAATGTATTAAGCTATAAGCTTTATATTTACTATCTTTCAGAAGAATTTAATTAATGAGAAGCCTGCTGTACCCTGAAAAGTTTTCAATCTGAAAAGACAAGGCAGATAAACGGTTTATACATTTTAGAAAATTTCTGAACATAGTTTTCATGTAAAAGTTAGATAAAATTTTAATCTCTTTTCCCATTATACTCATTAGCCAAAAACAAATCAAATTATTCATAAAAGTACACGATATACAACACAATTTTTAAAGACAGTATATTCTCAACTATCTTATGCGAATCATACCTAATACATGGAACAACAGCATCTTTAGTAGCCAATACTTATGCTCACTGTGAAGCATAGTGCAGCCTTTACAAAGGACCATTTAATCATTATAACCTTACATGTAAGGGATTTACTAGTAATAGCTCCATTTTACAGAGAGGAAAACTAAGGCACCAAGAAATAAGCTAACCCACTTGAAGAAACTGGAAATGAACCCAGATAGTCTCATCCTCCACTAAGCATACAGCTGCTCAATTACTGGACAACTCTCTAAAGTCTAATTATGTTGAAATGAGAGTTCTCATTTGATAACCTGTAAACAAAGTCGAAGTAGCGGTGGTGAACAAAATAACCAAAACGAGGACGATGGGGCCACCACCTCCCCTCCCTTCAAACTCTGCACTGATGCGCGAGTGTCACGTAACCCGACTATTAATGATCTGCACCTTGCCCTTTACAGCTTCTCCAACTCCTCTCCCCAAATTGGCTCCTTACCTTCAGAACACAAAACATTCTCAGACCTGTCCGATCTTCAACGCGGGAGAGGGGACGAGGGATGGAAAGCAGGACCTTTGGGCTCCCTGCCCTCTAACGAGCTCCACTGCTTCCCTTTCCAGTCACCTCCGTATCTGTCGCTCCCCTGCTCACTGCAGTCTCGAGCCCACCCCACCCCCAACCGAAGCTGGGCTTTCTCTTCTGTTCCACTGGTCTGTATGTCTGTATCTTAGGGTACCTTTTTAAATAAAACTATGAAGAAAAAAAAATCTCTCTGTTCCACTTTAAATGTTTTACAGGGCTGTTTCTAAATATCTTTGTTTCCACATTACACAGGCCTTGCCCCAGTCTGACCCCATAACCACCCATCTCATGTCCTATGCTTCTCATCCACCTACCAGCAAGTAATGACCTTGACATTTTCCAAACCCGCCAGGTTCTCTGGGCCTCTACCCTTTTAACACGCTGCTCTCCTTGCCAGGAACGGCCCAGACCCACAACCTTCTGCACCTTCACGCCTCAAACCTGAAGCCTCTGTGAGGTGTCCTGTGTGAACACCAGTCTCCACCACTGTCGGGGGGTAGTATCTACCTCACGAAACCGCAAAGATGAAGGAGCGCGCAGGTGCAGCATCCAGCACAGCATCCGGCACAGGACGTGACGCTGTCTGCCGGTGCTTTCCGCCGCGGGCCCTGAGCACAGCCACCAGACACGACCGTTTGCCTTTTACCCCACTGCTCCCTCTGCGGCACATCCGTGTTCCCGGCACTTCTTAGCTTTCCAACGCCTGGACCAAACGTGCTCAATAAATGGCAGTTGGCGCAATACCTTAGACTTGCACGATCTCGTGCGTCAATCACATCTCAGTGCAGCTGGAAAAACTACTGGCGCAATGAGACGGTAAACGGTGACCAGCACCTCGCAGGGGGCTGGAGCCACAGAGTGGCCGCCAACACTGACAGCGCCGGACATCTTCCTCCCAAAAGTACTAAGCCTGCACTTCCCAGTCACAGCTTATATTTTTTAAAGACATTTAAGAGTTTCATGCAAAATGATTCTAATGTATTCCTTCCCATTTTCCATCAGTGTTACAATTTCTGCTTATACAAAATGATCAGAAAGGTACATTAGTTAAGCAGTAAGTACTACAGAACTATTAAAAATACAGTGAGATTATATAAGTTACATATATTAATATATAATATAATCTATACGTGTATATACATACGATCTCCACAAAGACTGTGTGTGCACGCCCATATGCACATGTGTGTATAGTGGACCGGGAGCCACACCTAACTAACTTTACGTGCTTTTTGCTGCAGTCGGAGCATGCAGTGGAGACGTGCTACACTGTTTCCCACTGGACACTGCAGTGCCACCAAAGCGACTCTCAGTATCCAGAAACACCAGCCCTTTTCTAGCTTCAATCTTTTTCGGATTAATTAGCAATTAAAAAAAAAATTTAAATGTTTATAGCCATCATGGCTTTCATGATGTTTCAATTATGAACAAAATGGTTAGCATTTGGAGATATTTAAATGAAGAAACACTCTACATGAAAAGTTAAAGAATGGAAAATGATGCTATAGTTTGTATATTCGGAAGACTTAAAAAGTATGCACTAAATGTGTTTTAAACAAGTTTCACACTTAAAATGAAAAGTTACACTTAACACTCGCCTTCGGGCTTCCACTACCGTGCACACGCGGGCGTGCCCACACGGCGCCTGGAGGTGCCCGGATGGCCTCACCCACCTATGTCATTCCCAGAGGAATAGCTGCCGTGACTCTCCGTCTCCTCCAGAGACAGGATCTTGAAGGAGGCCAAAGGGGTGGAGCCCGGCTGCGTGGAGATCATGCCGCGGAACCGCGTCACCGTCCACGTCCGGACGTGGTTGTTATCCGCACAGACTGGGGGAGGGGAGAACATGGGAGTCGTTAAATGCAGCTCTCAGGACACTAGCAAGTCGCTTGTACGCACATTTTAACTTTTTTCACTGCGCTCTGTATTAAATAGATCATAGCACATTCGAGTGGCAAATGACATCTTTATATTAAAATTATAATTTTCACCTTGCCAACAAAAACAAGAACTGAATATAGTTTACCTTGCCACAAATATAAGGAATGTAACATACAGGAGAAAAGTAGCTTGTAGGGTAGGAAAGTCAGAAAAGCATGTGCAAGACACAAGGCACTGAGATCGACTGCACAGAAGACAAGTTGCCTCATTTATTTTTTTAACATAGAAACTGTTCGGCTAATTTCACTCAAATGTTAAACAACTGAAAATTTATTCTTGCAAATGATATTTGTCAAAAAGCTTGTAGGAACTAGCTACTTTTGCCTGCTCGGTTAAATTATGGAAATTAGGATTCCACATAAAACTGAGAATTATATTACATCAAATAAGAGTCTGTATTTAAGATATATACTCCAATTAGCTTAATTTTTTCATGTAAATATTAAGTGGTATATATAGTGAGATATATCCTAACAAATTGCCTTTTTTATCTGGATACTCTATTAAGAAATATAAACTCAAAAGTGGTATTATTAATGCAAGAACTACACGTTTGTGGCATGCTTTAATACAAAAGTGTACTAATTTGCCATTTATTATGATTTCAGAAAATTCATTATTAGCAATGAGCTATGAACTCATCAGTATACACTAGGAACGTGTCCACAATTTCTTATATGCATGCCATATTTACTACTGGGCAAAATGCCATAATTGTGTATTTTAAATAAAACTTCGGAAAGAAATATAATTTTGGAAAACTGAAATAAGAATAAAAAGTGTACAGATGTTACCTAAGTAACAAAATTCTCAATTCTCAATGCCAGTTTTCTGGTAAAAAGAAGACATTTAGTCCCAGGCTGGTTAATCAGCTTCGTGGGCAATCGTTTCCTGATTTCATAATTAATCTTACCAGGATCCAGAAAAAAGTTAAGTATTTTTAGCTGATTCAAATGAGCAATTATGATGATTTTGTTAATATTAATTGTATCTAATGTTTTAATACATGAAGACTATAGGAAAAAGAATGCCATTACATATACGTGGATATCCACCAGGTGGCAGACTAACATAGCTGAGAACTATATACAGAAATACTCCAGATTTTTGGCTAACCTGGACTTTCTTGACAAATTTACTTAGATTTCAAATCTATAAAATATTTGATGTTAAAATGTAACTTTACTCTGTTGTTCTCTGCCATCACACCCTACAATAACATTGTCACCCTCAAATTAAAAGCCATAATCACATCCTTTAAAAATCACGACGACCCTGGAAAAGTATTTTCTCACAGTAATTAATGACAGCATTACTCAGCATCTATGTGCGAAGAACCATGGTAAGTGCTGAGAACAGGGTGAGAACAAGTTTCTGCTGCCACAGAACTTATATTCTACAAGAGGGAGGCAGATGGGGGGCAACACACGATCAAGCGATGAGTCTGAAGAGAACAGACAGAGGTACCGATAAAGCGAGTGACCGCGGGGTGGGTTCGGTTAATTTAGACCGAGGGGCCGAGGAGGCCTCACAGAGCAGGGACCTGAAATAGGAACTGAATGACAAGGAGAAGGCAGACAAACAAAAACACTTTAAAGAAAAAGAACAGTGCAAAGATTCTCAGGCATTTTTAAGAACTTGAAGAGCCAATGGGTTAGGGTCACAAGCGATCAGAAAAGAAACGGGGAGTAGGGAGAAGCCTGGAAGGCAGACGGGACGCAAACAGGAGAGTCGTGCTCATTTATTTATTCCGCACACAATGGAAGCCAATGAGAATAGAATCTGGTTTCAAAGGACTTTCTGGCTGCGTGTTACCTTGAGAGAAATGCAGGCAGAGAGGCAAGACCCAAACAAGGAAAGAGCCAGGGTCTAGAAAGGACGATCTGCGATGCTGGGTGGGCCGTGATGGGCACAGTGAGGTGAGACCGGTGACACGTGCAAGTCCTGAAGCAAAGCTAGTAGCACTGACCGATGTGACGGGACTTACGAGAACGGGAGGGAAGGGGGATCAGTGTGATTCCTAGATTTCCAGCTTGAGTAAGTGACCAGATGGTGATAATGGGTACTAACATGGCTTTGAGAGAGAAAAGTGCTATTTTATCCAGGTTAATTCTGAGATGCCCGTTAAACATAAAACCAGATATAGGCACAGGATGTACAAGTTTGGGACTGCAGATGGTCGCAGGCGAAGGAAAAGTCAGGATCACTGGCATGTAGATGATACTACTAAAATCACCCCGGAAAGTACAAAGAATGGAGAATCTGGGACAGGAGTCTGGGGCAGTCCGACAGCAGACGGGGCAGAAGAGGAAGGATCGACGACAGAGTGAAGAGACCTCCTCGGCGGGGCAGGTGAGTGTGAGGTGAGCCTTCGAAGCCTAAAGAGGTGGTTTCACAAAGGCGTAATTACACCCAGACATGAACGCGCATTCATTCACCGACAAGGTGTTTCAGCTCCATGGCTATTCGATCAGACTGGAAGACAACGAAAGGTGTATCACCTTTTATGTTATATAGTTTTTATAGAAAGAAACTTGGTGTATGAAAATGTTTATAAAAAACTGAGGCAAGGAAGTGACCCACAAAGACAGTGTAAAAGCCAGCTCTGCCGATCTACCTGGCCCGCAGTTTGACTTTCATAAAGCCTGTCAGAAATCCATCGATTACAGTGAATCTCATCAACAGAACTTTACTTTGTCCCACTCGTTAAGCTTGAAAATCTGTATCTAATTTTAAAGTATCTAATTAGTATTAACATTAAAAAAATTATGGCTATAAGAAAAAATCAAACTGTTTTCTTCAAATAATCTCTTCATCGGTTGCACTCGTTTTTAACATTGTTACATGAGCAAAGTCACATGTAAACCAACAACCTGAACTCTGACCCTTAAGACACTACAACCAAGTTTGCATTAAATTTCTGTGATGAAAACCTTTCTCAACAGAATCATGAAAAATATTCTGAAATAAAATATGCCATGAGAATAGAGAGTCAATAAAAAGTACGCTACCTCCTAGATCTGTGTATACTACAACCAGGCAGAATCAAAGCGATCCTTACACACAATCGTAACATTTCTTCGGTTATTACACTTTCCTACCAGTTCTTTTGGTACGCTCTTCTCACGTAAGACACTCTTACAAATCCACAGCGGAGAAACTGCCACGCAAGGCAGAGTGATGAGGCAGACCTCCTCACCCGCCCCGAGAAGACGACGTTACCTGATACCAGATGCTTCTCCGACAGCATGATTTTCGTGACGGGACTCCGGTGAACCGTGAAGGTCTGAAAAAGCTGAGGGCCCGACCCAACCGTCTCGGGGTGCTGAACGATCACCCGCACTGCTCCGGAGCTCGTACCGTAGGCGATCTCAATCCAGTTCCCACTGACACCTAGACCGAGTCACAAGTGGACGGGGGCACATTAGATGCGGATGGGGAGCGAGCTGGCATTGCAGAGACAAAAGGGCGGAGCTGGATTCGCCGCTTCTATCAGCCCCAAACCCAGCTCAGCAGAGAAATCTTAAATCTCTACCATCGTAAAATCATGTTTTCTTTTACAAGTCGATTCCTAAGCCTCACTCCCAGATACAGTCGTTCACCCCTTCCTTGTACTGTATCAGATTCTATCGTAGCAACTGGAATAATACACTAATAATCTATTTTCTTGTCTATCTCTACTTCTCGTTGACAGACTGAATCATAATCCTCCTTTTTTCTACGTCACCTTACAGAGTGGCCGAGACATAATGGGTACTCAATAAATATTTAAAGAATTAATAAAACATATAAATATTAAAAATACCAAAGACACAAGACAGTATTCCTAAAGGAGTACTCCATATTACTTCCAGCCTAGAAGGGCCATGTTTTACTTTTGCTACAATATTGACTTTTCCTTGAATAATCAGGTCCTGTATACACCATCTAACAGCTTCATAACACTTGACCATGGAACACGTAAACCAATCTGATGTCACACCCATGCCGTCTCTCTAAATGTACAGCTCGTATCAGGCTCACCTGTGGCTTGGTTTTTACACAAGTGCCCAGACTCCGTCACATATGTAAAGACAGAAGGGATTTCAGTGACTTATATTCTTAAAAAGCTTCAGGGACAGAATCTAACTTTAAGAGCTGTTCTTTCTGATTCACGTCCCAGTACTTGAATCAGAAGGGAGAAGGCATGGCATGCCATGGGCGACACTCAAGAACCACCAGTACTTGAATCAGAAGGGAGAAGGCATGGCATGGGCGACACTCAAGAACCGATAAGGTGGCTCCATCCCCGCAGCCCCTCTGATTTAGACTGGAAAAAAATGCACGTCTCAACCAGAGCAGGGGTCAGCAGACTGTCTGCAAAAGGCTGGAGAGCAAACACTGTAAACTCTGCATGCCACACTGTCTCTGCTGAAGTCACTTAACTCTGTCACTGCTACAAAAGGCAGCCAAAGACAATTTGTGAAACTATTAGTAAAAAGAACACGGTTTGCTGATCACTGTTCTAGCACAATATAGTTGAAATCCTACTATAATTTCAAGCAAAACCCTCTGTGTACACAGGAATATTTCTTTCACAGGAAAGACGATTTCCTTCTATGAATTCGATGAAGCGATTTTATACCAGGAACAAATTCAAATCTAATTTTCCTGTACATATTAATGCTTCCTAGAATTCCTTTCCTTACAAATAAATTTAAAGTTCCTCATTTATGTTGATCTTTCATTCTAGAATATAAAAATTAATTTACAGATCTTAGTTCTTTTCATTGCAATGGCCTTGAAAAGCAATGGAAGTTATTAATATTGAACTTCCAGATATGTCTTTTCCCATAACTTAAAGTTTCTCAAGGAAAAAAGTGTACTTTCCAATGAGATTAATACTTTGAGCCCTTTTTTATTAAAAAAATAAAAGCTAATTGCAAAACAAAATCGGCTAGTGTAACGGGAAGGTAAATGTGCATTTAACTTTTTAAATAATTTGTCAATACTGTAATGATATGGCTTAAATATAATTCAGAAGATCTAATTTCCCACCTGAAATTATGCTTATTTATTTGTCACATTTTATTTCAATATAAAACCAAGTATAAACTTTAGACTAATAGAGATGAAATCTTCAGTACGGCAGTTATAGAAATGGAGGAGCACATGAGTTTTAGCATAATAAACTGATAAATAAACACATTCTCAAAACTACTTCAAGAACTTAGAGTAATTTTGCCAGGCACTAACTTGTTTTGGGTGTGAGGTAAACACTCAGAGCAGTAATAGCATCGTTTGAAGGATCATGATACAGTTCAGTTACAAGAAGATCATTATCCTTCATTCGCAAAGGGAACTTCTGCATATCTAAAAAACAAACAAAATTAAATAACATTAAAACAAATAGTGCCTCTATTCAAAACTAAAAACGATAATGTTTTCTTGTTCTCATTTTTAAAAATCGTGATGAACAGGACACGTGGCACGTCTGTAGACTCACCTATGTAATATATGGACCCATTATTACAGCCCAGCAGGAGGAAGGACCCGGCAGTGTCGTAACTAGTTATGGGAACAACGTCTTGAACCTGAAGTCATGAGATTATTATTAGATGTTAAACAGCAATTACAAGTTATATTTTCTGCTCAATTTCTCCAAAATTATCTTACTAAAAAGGACACTAATATCCAATTCAAGTAAGGCTTAAAGAATGGACTATATATATATATACACACACACCCCATTCACAAGAAACTCTGAAGAACTTATTTCTTCTAAAACTTTTTTTAAAAACTACATTTCCAACAGCAGCCCTTTCTTTTCAGAATTTAGAAGGAGGCTCTTTTTTCTGTACATGATTATGAGAACATAACAACACATTAGGACTGGAAGACCAAGTCTGACCAGGTTCCTTTCTCCCTGTATGAGATAAAATGACCCAAAGTCACACAGTAAGGAAGGGACAGAGTTAGAACTAGAATACAAATCAAATGAGTCCCAGATGGTACTATTCCCTTGATATTTATCATCATCGCTTTGAAAAGGCAGCTTCTTTTTTTCATTCTCCCCACTGACAAGTTTACCTGTTTCCAAGGAAACGGTAAAGCAAACAGGGCCTCATGTGCTTTCGTTGTTTCAAATACTAGGAAAAAATCAGTTTCCCAAGCAAATCAATCTAGTTACACATTAACAGCTGCTTGTACTAGTGATAAAGGCGAAGGGGGTTGATTTTTACTACAAAACAAAAACAAAAAAATGTCCGTCAGAGCTGTGGCAGTAAGCTCGAAATGAACCTTCCGTATGCAGAGCCAGGCCAGAGATGCACGTGAAACAGGTGACATCTACCCCAGAGGACAAGTACTGGCTAAGGAATGTCAGATGACGCTTTGCTCTGCAGAAGTTTATAAGCTAGTGAGCAAGAAAGGAAAAGGCAACGACAGTGCGACAGGCAATACAATCAGGTGTGCAGGACAATCGCGGAGGAGGCAGGAAGGGTTCTCATCTCAACCCCAGTGTGGGCAGCAGGGCAAAGGTCAAGGAAAAGTTCAGAAAAGCAGTGAAGCCTGAAAACTGAAAAGCCTGCTCGCTCTGAGTCGTGGAGGAAGGGGAAGGGTGTATCTGCCAGAACTCAAGTACAAAAAGCACAGAATCCATGTCCATTCCTATGGGGGAAAAAAAAAAAAACATTGAAAAAAAGAGCTGAGACTTGGGAAATTGATTCCTCTAAGCTGTTCGTGCACACGGCACTAATTTCTATGTGCACCTTGCAGTGTCGCACACAGTTAAGTCATACTAGAAATATCTGCAGAGTCTCGGTTACCGCCCCGAATCTAAGGGCAGGTTTTGGTGTCATTGGAGCCAAAAGGACGCCCAGCAGAACACTGAGGACTTCCAGTGACGTGGGCAAAGACGTGTGAAGATGGAGGGAAAGTTCTCGACATCCACTGACCAGTGTCCCACCCACGTTCATCTTCCTCAGCTCCCACCTCAGAAACCTGGGATGGATAAGGCCACTAAGTTCCTTTCCCTTCAGACCCATTTTTCAATGAAAGAGTGGCAGCAGCCCCATCTAAGGCAAGTCCCATCGAAGGCAAACATTTAACCACTCGTCCTGTGGGAGTATGGGCTCCGGGATGAGAGCCTTCTCAACTCTCGCTGCAAACCTCCACCAAGTCCTGCGTTTCTCCCAGGCCTGCCCGCAGTACACGGGGAACAGGGGCAGGAGGGGCGCGTGAGGTTACACAGGCATCGGTACTGCCAAGTTCTTCCCGACAATTCTCGTTTCTCACTCGTCATCAGTCTACTGCCCTCTGGTCTCCTGACATCCCTGAGGCCTTCTCTGCCACTTGGCACTTCACTTCCTGATCTCTTTGCCATCTTTATGTGTTCTCGTCCCTTGGTGTGTCATATCCATTTTATTCCATCTCCAATCCCTCATCAGACCAACGTTGTTTTCTCTTCTCTTGCTTGCTCCCAAACGGACGTGACGGTATCATCCAGCTCCACAGCGAACAGAGGAGTTACAAGCTCTGCCGTCCTGGCTCCG